TGCAAAAATAATTACTTGTCCTCAAGATGTGACATCAACTCAAATTTGAGCTGTTAGATTGACATTTTCTTTCACTCCTGACGTTACAAGTTAGTGGGTTAGTCTCTATCCTCTCCTTCCAAGTTTTTCCTCTAACTAGAAAGGCTAAAAAATGAATTTCAAAAGGCCAGCTGAAAAACAGTTTAATGTGGTCATTGTTCCAGGTGCTGAGTCTAAGGAGAGTAGATAATACTGTAAGACTTCTAGATGTAATTATGTCACTTGGAAAGCAGTTGGGACATTTATGCCATGCTAACTCAAAATCTGATCAGTTAGTGCTTTACATCTGCAAAATAAACCTCTCACCAGCTAGACTTCATTAGTTAGATATTTCTGGCTTGCTTAGGGGTCATTTGAGCCATGATTTTTCAAGTAGTCTTTTTGCAGAAGAGCTCCTACTTCAAATGTTTGTCTTAATGCTGTGAGTAAATAGCTATTCATTTGATTTGCTTAGAAGTAGATAATATCTTGACTTTGATGTGGCCAGTAGCAACAACTCCTCAGGAATTCTGTTGGAGTGAAGTGTAATCCACATTAGGCAACTTCTCTCCAAAGTACTGGTTTAAAAAAGTGCTAAGTGACTTGCTGTAAGATGTCAGAATGTTTGGTCATCCCACCTTTCCTGGAGAGGGACTGGCTGACCTAACCCTCCTTACCCTTCAGACTGGAGAGTTTTTACTGGAACTTACAGTGACAAAGGGAGAATGTCAAATAGAGTTTTGATCTACATATATGCAGTTTCCCTGAATCTTTGTAATTCAGGTGTCCCTTCATTGCACTCCTTTCCCTAAAACTTTCATTGTGGGGATAGTTACTGTCCGCTGTAGGCAGGATTCTGAGGAGCGAAGATCTGAACTTCATCACTGCAGTACTCAATGGAAAGAGGTATGTAATACAGAGCATCTGAAGTTGTGGTCTGTTTGCTTGTTTCTAGAGAGCACTTGCAAAGCTGACTAGCTTTATTGGAGCTGAACAAATCCTTAGAAATTAAGGTAACAAACACTTTGCTGCAGTATTCACGATTTTACAAAGATGTTACATTTGTAGCTTTTTGTTCTAAAATGTTTTGTGCATATGATTTTAATGGCATTAAGATACATCACTTCAGGAAGGTGTTTTTCTGTTGTGCTGTTGGGTTTTGATTCCTCACCCAGAGGTACATTCAGAGAAGTCAGATTGGTGCTTTCGTGAATTCTGGTGCTTCTGGCCATCCCCAGTACCTGTGACAGGAAACATCCATTGCATCTTTTAGGTCCAGCTCTCCTGTGCTCACGAGTTCCTCGCCTTAAAGTGTTTTTTAATTGCATCTAAAAACCTGCATAACTTTGCTTGGCTGCATTTATCCCAGAGTAAGTTTCCTGCTGGAGTTCTGTAAGGACAGTAAATCTTAGAGGTCATGAGAGCCAGTCTATTGAGTTAGCAACATTTGTACTGAAGATGATCAATATTTCATCTACTTTGAAATTCTCTCTTAAAACAGCAGTGCTACCAAATGGTTCAGTAGGTTTTGTTCACTTACAGCCTGTACAGTTGTTGATCTATGAAGAGATTTATGCACCTTGCATTCTACAAGGAATGAAGATTTTCAGATGAATAATTTGGAGCTTATACTTGATTTATTTAATACTGGTTCTGCACTAAAAAAAATACTTCTTCACCAGAAGTTAGTTGAGGAAAAAATGGGAAGTACTACATTAGGTTGATGTTGGAGGAAATGGTATATATACGTCACTGACATCTGAGCAAAGAATTGGGCTGAGAGATGCCTCTATTTGGTAGCATTAACAACAAAGGAAGAGGATAACTGGAACCAGTGAAACAAAATAAGTCTGCTCCAAAGAAGGTGAGGTGTATGGAGAGCTTGTAGGTTTCTCCATATATTTCTCTCTTTGATACCAAAGATTATTTTAATTAACGTTTTCTATGTCAGATATATTTTGATAATTGAGGTAAGATGGTGCTGCCAGCTTGGCTTGAAACATTTCTTTTTATACGATGTGAGCTGTTCATGATGCAGTTTTGTCAGACTCTGAAGTCTCCTTCTATTCTGTCTCTCCCAGCCTGGTGCCATAAATAGAAACCTATTCCTTGCCCATCCCAAGTTCTTGGCTTGGAGCCATATTTCTTGGCTTTAGTCAGTGGGCTGTTTACAGTACTTAAACCTTGCACCACAATGTGGGAGGCCCAAAGACTCAATGGATCTGTGCTTAGTTCAAGCAAACCACCTTAATAAGAGTCTGCTTGCTTGCTGGAGAGGAACACCTAGGAATGGCATTTAGTTAGGTTGCCTGCATTTTACCAAAGCCATATGTGAGCTGTCTAACCCCTTTAAACTGGTGTTTTTCATGGCCACATGTACATTAGCAGAAAGACTAGGTGGTCCACTTAGGTAAGGGATGGAGTCTGTTACAGGGTAAGGAAAGTTCATAGGTCTGCTTCTATGCTACCACATTATTAGACAGCAGGAACTTGGCCTGTTTAGCATCGGTTTGCTTTTTAGTATGTACTTTGCCATGAGTATTTTTGGTTGGTAGGAAGTGCTGAGACTTGGCTTCAGAAACAAAGTACTGTAGAACTTGATACTATTCCGGTCATGTCAGCAAAATAGGGAACCCGCTTGCTGCTGCTGTGTTATCAGTTTTGTTTCCTCTTTCATTAAGGCAGGAATCATCCCACTAACAAGATTAAAGATCTTGAAGTCTAGTGATGTAAAGTGATGTACATTTTGAAGATGCAGTGGAAAGTAGAAGTTATGCTAATGGTTGTTAGTTACTGGATGGCCTGTTTTCTATGCTCCAAGTTGACCAAAGTGTGTTCTTTGGTAGGTTTAAATGCAAGTATATAAAACGAGTCTGCATGTAAAATAGTGCATTGATATTTATATTGGCATTTAGTTTGAGAACTCAAAGTGAAAAAAGTGAAAGAAGTGGCATATGCAGAGATCTTGGTGGCCTTGTATGCATGTGTCCCTTTGTGAAGGGAGACATGTGAGAAGCCAGAAGATAGAACACCATATGTTGTCTATATAATGTACAAACACATATACATACAGCCTATGGGTTTTGCAGCAAAATGAAAGGTAACAGATTGAGACTGTATGCAATAACTAGTATTTACCCTATAACCCTTTCTTTGTCTCTTCCTTCCATTGACAAACCAGTCACTTTGGCCTGCTGCCAATACCAAGTACATTTCAGGGCTGTATTTCCATTTACATGTTTTAGGGACACTGGCAGTTGGTTCAGAAATTCAAAATATAGCAAGTCTTTTTAGGAGCTTCCTGAGCTATACATCTCAAAGTAGCTTAGTCAACAAGATTTCCTTTTATTCAACTTTTTCCCATTGCTGGAAGAACTACAGAAATGCTTCTAAATGGATGACTTAAGTTGTACAGGAAGGGTAGCCACTCTTGGGAAACAGTTTTGAAGAGCACCAAAGGGAATAGTCTAAAAAGCTGGGAAGAGCTGCTGTGCCTGAAAGGTGGATTCTTTCACCGAGGAAGTTGAATATACCAGAATTAAGATTTTATATTGTGCACTTACTGTGAAGGGAATAGAATAGGATGTGGATGTAGTGGATGGAGATGTTGAACTGATGGACTATAGGGTAGAGTAACTATCTAGGAAAATCAGTTGTAAAAGAAATAATGCTCATCTAGAAGGTAGAAAGATGCCCAAGTTTATTCTGCTTGGGTTTATTTGACAGGACCTTATCAACTGCTTCACACTGTGCAGCAACATTCTGTGTCCTTACCACTGAGAAACACCTTCAGGAGGGTGGCTGGAAGGGTGCAGGCGCAGAATTGCCGTGTAACAGGAAGCTTACAGCCCAAGTGTTACTTATCCAAAAGGCCAGTGCTGGCCACTGCTTGACTTCCCATCAGGAGCTCATTAACAGATCAGCCAGCCAGTAAGCTTTGGCTAAGGATACTCTTCTGCCAAAGGCTAAAACTGATAGTCAGTAGATACCTTTGCAAGTTACATTATTAATCCATCCTATCTTTCTACTAGTTCTTGTGTGTTCCAAATACTAATTACTCATCTGTTGTATTTTAACTAACAAGTAAATTTGTTATTTTAACTAAGGTAATTAACTGTAATGGCTAAGAGTAATTTAGCCACAAATCCATACATAGCTTGCCATTTTCTGGTACCATATCGGAAGCGTGTCACAAAACTCATGCACATGTTTCTGAGGCTGTGCTGTCTTTCTCTACAAATTGTGCTTATTCTTTGTGTATTAACGGATACACTAAGGTTGGTACAAATAACAGTGTAATGAAGAGTATTTTGAGCAAATAAGAATGGAGAAAACAGTAAAACAAAGAGGCAGAAACACAGAGCAAAAGAGATAAAGCCTAGGAGCTCTTAAGTAAAGGCATTGCAACCTCTGGCTACTAGGTAGCATGCTGCAGGATTTACTGAGCTTGGTTTTGGATAAGGAAGAAAAAAGGTCACTCAGTTGTCAGAACTTCACAAAGACAGCACTATGGAGGTAGTCAGCCTAAGTTATTTTCTTTTTCTGGTTACTTTTTCCACATACATTAGGGGTTGGTGGTATGGGACATAACTTACGTCACAGGCCATACAGGTGAAAGCAGTTCCCCTTCACCACAGGATACCCATGGTTTTATTATAGTGTTTTTCCACAGCCTTACAAAATACAAGTATTTGGAATAAGTCAGGTTGCTCATTTCTTACCTTCAGCCTGATGAGTCCTCATCACATGGTGCAGCTGCCTTTCTCACAGAGCAGTGGAGTTAATGGATTGTAGAAATGCTGTTTGGTTTTGGTCTTTCCCCTTGGTAAGCTTTGACAACTCCTCTCTCCTCCCCACAGCAACCCAACCATTGACTTCCCTCTCCCTCCTCCCTTTATATACCACACTGCAGGCCTACCACCATCTCAGGTGTGAGAGTGCCATGGTGATTTCTTGTTCTTTAACCCTTCCTTGTCCCACATGTTAGGAGGAGCCTGTCCTGGTACAAGTCATACAGTACAGCCTTTCAAAAGCGCTACAGCTTTTGAAGAATTCATCCAACACATCTTATGGTTTTTGAGAGGTAAATTTGATGGTGCCCTTTTAAAGAGTTCCTGACTCTTAGTAGTCAGCAAATATGCAGCTCCCATTGGGTGTACTGTACTGCCCTTGCTTTCTCTTTCTTTCTGAAATCCTGAAATGCTCAAGAGTGTTTACTTGCTCAGTGCTTGTTACATCTCTTAGACATATATATTTTCACTAACGCCATTTCCTGTTGATTCATCTAAGTAATGCTCCAGCAACGGTATGTGGAGTGGAAAAATGAATCAATCTGGGCAGTCTCCTTAATGGGTGATTTGTTTTGTAATTTGTACAAAGGAATTTCTCCAAGGAAACTGTTTGCTTTCTTCCCAAACACTTTGTTGCCTAACTCTGGAACAAAACTCTGTCTTTATAGCACATCACAAAATTGTTTCAACTTGCAGTCCAGTCCCCACATCCTCTTGTTTGTTCAGCGTTCCCTGGGAAGCTCCACCCTCACTTCCAGCTGATAACTAGGTTAGCCCACAGCCTGATTTCCCAGTTTCTCCTTTGCCCGCTTGGCAGCACTTGTTTTTTCATTGGCCACCAGCCTTACAAGCAGGGATTGACTGCACGTGGTGGCGTTTGTGCTGGCAGTGGCAGTCCAGGACTTCTTGTGTCAAGCAGCCTCATCTGCTTGCTGTGAAGCACAGCATGATGGTGGGGACAGTCCTCTTCCAGTCTAGCAGCTATGGCAAAGAAGGCAAGCTGCTCTGCTGCCTAAGCAAGGAAGCCTCTGAGCCTGGCGTGAATTTCACAGGTATGATGTTCAGGAATGTAATGCTGTGCTGTCCCTTTCCTGTATTTCTCCAGGTGTTTCAAGGAGGATATGGATCTTCTCAAATCTACCTTTGTCTTGTAGTATGAGACCAGCCACAGGCAGGACTGAGATTGCCTGGTTTTATCTGGGTTTTGGGATTATTGAAATGCTTCATTTTTATGAGCAGTTACACAGTTGGTATTTCAGAAATAGAGACCACTTCAGACATAATATGACTCTAGAATTAAAGGTTTAGCTCCTGGGCTGAACAGAATAGTAATTGCAGTGTTGGCAGCACAGAGTAGGGGACAAAACACCCCTTACATATTGGCTGAATAGGAAAAGCCTTCATATCCGGGTGGAAGCAAATTGTATTGTGGGAACAAAGAAAAGGAAGGAGATGGACGAAGCATAACCTCCTTGCATGGCCATGTATTACTCGTGCACTAAATGATGATGTAAGTTTTCCATTGTATAGGAAATGAAAGTGGTAGTATATGATTTATGGTTAGCCTTTAAAAGGAGCTGATATAAAACAACTTCCCAGCTCATTTCCATACTCTTGGTGTGGATAGAGCTTACAGACTATTCAGCTGGAAGAGAATCACTTATGATAGGATTTTGTGATCTAGTTTCCTTAATGAGGTTTATGTGACCATCATGTTTCACTGACTTTCCATAACCTGACACACTGAATGGTATAGATCCACACTGTATTGAGCAGCATAGGTTATTGTGTACTAATAGCCTGCAATAGGTACAGTAAAGTCCTAAAGACTTGATAAAGTCCCCTTTAGTAGCTGTTGGGTAACCTTTACAGTTACTTAAGCATCCAAGTCACTCTAAGATGAAAGTGAAGGAAGTTGGTGAGACATGCATTGAACTCTTAAAAGCATTTGCTTTTTAGGTAATGTGATTTTTAGGTAAGTACTGTAGTTAAGTGATTGAAGCTCTTCATCAAACATTAACTTCTGCTGGCTTTTTCTGTGCGTAAAGTGGGTGTTAAGAACGTGTGCCAGCCTCCCAGGCATTCCCGAGGAAGTGGTAGTAGTCCCACACCTGCTTTGAATCTTTGCTGGCAATCCAGCACAGCACCACAATGGTTTCATGTGAGCAGAGCTGCTCAGTGCTGAGCAGCAGGTGGCATTGTGCTGGTTTTGCCTTGGCTGGAGTGCCCGCTGGGGGGCTCAGCATGGGCATGCGTAGGTGGTCATGGGATTCACTGCAGCAGCTCTGAAGCTAAGTTGATACAGGGCCTCTTCAGGCTTACCTATCGAGTACATCATTACATGCTCAACTCTGTGCTGTCTGTTGAGTAGGGGTTGGATGCTTAGTTCATGAACTTTTCTGGCTTGAGAAAGATCCTTAACGTATGTTTTGATTTAGAATAAATACATATATTTCTATTTAAAACCTTTTGCATTTCAGCAGATACATAATTGAAAGTAAGAAGTTATTTAAACATCATTAAGATATTTTGGAGCTGAAAGGTCAGATATTTTTTGGAAACATTGCCTACTTTTGTGTTTGCTCCTTGGCAGAGATGCAGAAGTCAGATTTCTTGTATAGCACATTTGCTATAAAATAAAAATTAAATTTGTATTTTTATAAAATAAAAATTAAATTTGTATTTTTGCTCCATAAAGGGAGCTGTATTTAGGAACTAGTGTTCTTTCCTGGTGCTTAACAACTGGACATGTATATGCACATACTCAGTCCTAAAAAATTACAGGGGGATGTTGGCAGCTATACTGTAATGTAGGCATTGGATTTCCTCTTTCCTCCATGGTAAAGCCAGTATGAATAGTTTAGTATATTGTAAAATTAATTGCAGTTGATAGTTAGGAATAGGAAACGTATGTCAACATTGCATCTGCAAACAGCGAAATCAAAGAAGTGACATTTTGGTAGTTTAGTCACTTCTGTGCTTGCTAGGAAAACCCTGATAAGCGGGCTACTTTCTCAGGTTTCAGAAGGTAGGTTATTAAGTAATTGCAGGTTGAGCAGGTTATACGAGCAGTTTAACCCTGAAGAATTACCAGAAATACTGTCAAAAGCCTTAGCTTTTGACACACACTTAGCTATGTGTTTAAAAACAAAACTGAACAAACCTCAACCATATACTTTCTCATGTACCTACAATATGAAAACCCCCTATGTCCTCATTTTCCAGGCTTGAGCTCTGTCCTGTGACACAGATTTGGCATATGTTTGCCTATTACTTGGCACAGGCCTCTTCCTGTTTTGTGTCTCGCTGACTTCCCAGTTTTCCCGTCCTGTATTACATTTGAGTTCTTTGTTCTCTTTTAAAGTGTATTATAGACCCACTCTTGCTCATGAATGTAAATCTCATGGGAGTGTGGGGAAGGGATAGTCATATGCACGCGTTCTTTGGCAGTGGTCTGCTTAAAAACATCCTAAGCCTTACTTCTCAGCCCCTCAGAAATGGGTCATAGCAATGCTTGTAAAGCAAAGAAAGCCTCAGGTTTTTTAAAGCGGACTTTTCATGTCTGGTGCTTTTAATGAAATCTCTTTACCGTGTACATTTCCAGAATTAAGTTCATCAAGAGAATTTGGAAATATATATTGGGACAGGAATTTGGTGTCAGTTCTGCCATCAGAGAAAATATTTGTATCTTTATTTTACATCTTCTTATTTTTTGCCCCCCTAGAGCAGCCCATATGCATTAAACCTCATCATTGCTCTTTTCTCATATCTTAGTATTGAGAGTGGACCCACTCTCTGGGTTCGAAAGCCAGTGATGGTCTTGGCATAGTGCTTGCATGAAGAGTTCAGACAGTTTTGCTTTTTACTACTGTTCTTTCCAAAACCTGTGCATTTACATTGTTTTCATCATCACAGGAACTGTGGGGACTTTTTTCTTTTGTCTATAAACAAGTCTGATTCCTCCCCCCACTCCCTTGAACTATCAAGTTTGTATCAGTTGTCCTTTGAGTCAGCAAAACAGGGCTGCCTGGAAATTCAGAAACACTACTGCTGCATATCTGGCATCACTTTTACTACTTTCTGTCCTTGTCAGTTTTCCACCTCTTATTTACACAGTCTTGAAATGTATTGCAAATCACCAACATTCTTGTCAATACTGCATCAGTTACTGTCCTAACCTGTAGATCTCATTTGTGTCATAATTCAGTCTGTCTTGGCTGTATTTATGATGTTGGCTTCAGATCGAGGCTATCTATTTCAGCCACAGAAACAATAAAAACATAAACCACAATATTTCAGCATCAGAAGGTTTCTTTCACTTCTTCACATAATAAAAAAAGTACTTTTTATTTATCACCCATTTTTTATCTATAAATGTTTAAATCCTTTCAAATAGAAGTGTATATAAATGGAATATATATAATACAATAAATACTAAATAGAAATTTTATATACACAGCTTGGTACTTGGTATCTAGGCAATTAATCACCTTCTCCAGCCCATATTAGAAGTAACCTATGGAATGAAGAGTCAGCAAAGTGGGGATTGAAAACCACTGATCCAAAACCATGCATGTGTTTTTCCCTTTCCATAAAGAGCATATTGTGCAGTAGGAGCTTTGCTCTGCTCTACACTGGCGTTTGTTCTATTTACAGTTGTACACAAAGTAATTTCCTCTTCCGTTCCTTCTTCAGAGGCCCTGCACCGCCCTTATGGTTGCGATGTTGAACCCCAGGCACTGAATGAAGCCATCAGATGGAGCTCCAAGGAGAACCTGCTTGGAGCCACTGAGAGCGATCCCAATCTCTTTGTTGCACTTTACGATTTTGTAGCAAGTGGTGACAACACCCTCAGCATCACCAAAGGTAAGGCTGTGAATCACTGAGCAGCTACTAGGTTGAAAACTTAGCAACAGAAAACAGAAAGCAGAATCCTGCTCCAGACAGGAATAGGAATGAGTATAGTTACAGATTTTTCTCTGAACTGGGGTGAGTGTAAGTCTCTCTCTCACTTGTGTTGGAGAGACACCTGCTGGGCAGTTCTCCCAGTGCAGATACAGGTTTGTGTGACACTGCTCAACAGTCTAATCCAGCTGCAGTTATCCCTGTTCTGGTCTCCCCAGATCACTGGCCCTTCGAGACACTTGGCTTAGGGAGGGGCAGAGGAAAACCGTTACATTCTTGATGGTAACAGAATTCAGCACTTTGAACGGAGGCAAAATCAATAATTAAGAATTGCACAGAGATTTTCTGTTTCTTTTCAGTACATATATGAGACTATGACCTGCTGCAGAACCATTTTAAATCCCATGCTATTTAAAGCTTCAAGAAGGAGACACTCCTCTTTCCTCCATGAAAAATAGTCTTTCTAGTCTAAAAAACTGGACTACAGGGAGCTCTTACTGTTCATCACTCACACTGCAGTAAATTAGGGAACAGTATCCTGGGTGTTCTGCTTGAAACTTTACTTCATAAATACTTTATATACAGCAGTTTATTTATAAGATAGCTGCTGCGGTTTTTTTATTGCTAACTACAAATCCAGGCTTAGTCAGCTGATGGTGAGTTTCTCCCTTAATGAGACCCAATAGATTACACTGTGCTTATTTTCCTTTTTTCTTTCTGGTCATAGGTGAGAAGTTGCGAGTCCTGGGTTACAACCAGAATGGTGAATGGAGTGAGGTACGTTCAAAGAATGGTCAGGGCTGGGTACCAAGCAACTACATCACACCAGTGAACAGCCTGGAAAAGCATTCATGGTACCATGGGCCGGTGTCACGCAGTGCAGCGGAGTATCTCTTGAGCAGTCTCATCAATGGCAGCTTCCTGGTTCGTGAAAGCGAGAGCAGCCCAGGGCAGCTGTCCATCTCGCTCAGGTACGAAGGACGTGTTTACCACTACAGGATCAATACCACCTCAGATGGAAAGGTAAGGATCTCTGGACAATGCTGTGGGGAGAGGAAATAAATTAATAGGTGGTACAGAATCTCAAGTTGCAGACTGTTATGGGAGGGCTGTGTGTGGGATAAAACAGTTCCACTGCTTGGTATACATGTTCTTTAGTAACTCATCAAACACCACTTTGGAAGAAGTACAGACATCACTTCTCCTGACTGAAGGTAGCTAGAGAGCAGAACAGCTGTGGTTTGATGTTGTGGTATCTTTCCATTGGTTCACTTAGAACAAGAAAAGCTTTGGTAACTCAGTATTTTTAACCTTGATCAAATAGCAGTATGTTGTTTTGGAAGATGCAGAAACAGGCCTTATGCTTCGCTACAGGAATTCCACTTTCTAGTCCTATAGAGCACAAAGCAGGAGACATCACTGCTCTCAGGTGATAGCTTATATCTAGCTGCCTTCTGTAGGTAAAAATCTCACAGATTAATAATTCATTTGCCCAACAAGATGAGAACAAATACTTTAAAATCTGTTTCTCTGAGTTTTATTTTTATTTTAAACATGTTAGAAATTTTTTACTATACTGGTTTTCCAGTGTTACTGAGAAATTTCATTTAAATAGATTCTTGGTTCTTAACAGGTATATGTGACAGCAGAGAGCCGTTTCAGCACTCTAGCAGAGCTGGTGCACCATCACTCAACAGTAGCAGATGGACTGGTGACAACTTTGCATTACCCAGCACCCAAGTGCAATAAGCCCACTGTCTATGGAGTATCCCCCATCCATGACAAGTGGGAGATGGAGCGAACTGATATCACCATGAAGCACAAACTTGGGGGAGGGCAGTATGGTGAGGTGTACGTGGGTGTCTGGAAGAAATACAATCTCACAGTTGCTGTGAAAACATTAAAGGTGAGTTTTCAGATTGTTATGTTTTGTTCATTTATGATAAGGGTAAGGAAATTGTAATGTTCTCAGATTTTACCACTTAATTGTACGAATATCAGAAAATGTAATGTGCTGATCTGCAGAAGCCCCATGCTTGAGAGTAGCTTTGCAGAATAAGGTTAGCTCATCAAACTTGCACCAGTGCATGTGTCTTAGAAACAATTTTGAATTTTGGCCAAGCAAGCACCTGCAGGAACTGCATGTCTGTACAGCTGGTTTCCATGTCCACTTCCCTTGCCTCAGAACAGCTGTGGAAGCTTTAAGAAATCGGAAGTGTTGGAAATACGTTCTACAACTTTTCCTCTACTCCTGGAAAAATTCATTTTCTTCATTTATCTATCTTGTCAAACTCTTCTGTTTGTTTCAATATGAACAGCTACAGTTCTGTGTGCTCCCTAAGTAAAGGAGCTTTCAAGCTTAATTTTTGTATCTAGGCAGGGGAACTAAGTGATCCTGAGAGTCTTTCTCTTACCAGCCATAACTGGTTTGGTAGCCACAATAGCTACCAAACAAGAAAGCCTAGCACTTTTTGGGTATTGCAGATCTATCACTTGGCCATGCTGCAGGACAGCCAGGCAGCTTTTCAGGGCTGTTATATTCTATTTTTTTTCTTTAGTTAAAAGCCAAAGCAGCAGAATGGAGACAGGGATGCCATCACTTATATTCAGCTAGGATACATGGTATTAAGCAGACCTTGTTCACGAAGATAATTTTTTCCTTCTTTTGCCTGTCTGTTCGTCTAGGAAGATACCATGGAAGTGGAAGAGTTCTTGAAAGAAGCTGCTGTGATGAAGGAGATCAAGCATCCAAATCTAGTGCAGTTGTTAGGTTAGTGAAAGGCCTTGCTCTTTCTGTTCTTACTTGAGTTTCCACCAGAATGAAATCTGTCTTGTTTAAAAGCAGGGGCAGATTTTCTGTAATTATATAACTTTAAATCAGGTCATGTTATGGGTGGTGTTTTGACAGCTTACTCCTTTAGATGGTATTGAAGCTGAGAGATGCCAATTTTAAATAAAACATCAAATATAGTCACTTACATTAGTAGACATAAAGGTTTGCAAATTCAGCCTCCTGTTAGTTTGTATTCTTGGCCTTAGACATGTTCCAGGGGTTAAATCAGCTTTACAGAATTATTTATGATTTATTTTTCTGATAGAACAGAACAAAATTATAAGAAAATTAAAAGTGAAAGAAACGATTTTACTGGAAGCACAACAAATACTGTTCTTCATGCTTTTCAAATTGGAGACCTTTCTAGTAAAAGCTGCACTAAATAGAGCAAATTTGTCCACAGTTAAGCCGAAAACAACCAGACTGCTGCTGCTGTAAGGGTCCCTGTGTATCACCAAATAAGTACATGAGATCGGGGCGCTGGAGATGCAATGCAAGTGAGATCAAACAGTACATGACTAGAAGAAATCTGCAGGCTTTACAGCTTGGTTGAGCCCTGTTTGTTTCAGTGGCAGATGCATGATACGATGATCACTATTAAATAGTCTGCATAGATGTTAATTCTACATGTACAAAAATTCTTAAGGAGACACCCTAAAATTTTTTATTTGAGTTTAATTGCCTCTGGACTTTCACTGCTTTCAGGAGCAAAGTTGTCAAGCCTAGCCGAGGATGAAAGGAGAAATGTGAAGACTGTGAAGGCTTTTAATAATGGCAACTATTCTGTACCCATTTAAAAAATGGGCACAGATGAGGTTTTTGCCCAGCCCTGTCTGGTTCCAGGAGCGGAGACAGAAAAACTTCTCAGCAGAGATGCATTTTTCCTCTTTCAGACGCACAGCATAGTTGTCTTTCACTCCTGTATGTGTGTAATGGTAGGAAGAGGCACACAGCAGTGCTGCAGTGTGAGTTCACAGAGATTTGACATGAGTATCCTGTTGCCCTCCTCCTCGATTAATACATACTTCATACATAATTGCAATAACTGTAGCAAGTAGTCATCTGAAGAATGCTGCTTTAGAAGCAGGTCCCACCATGCTGATCCCAGCTAGCACACATAGGACTACTTCCCATTACTCTGTAGTGACACTTCAGTCTCAAAATCTTGTCAGTTGATGGGTGTTTACTTCCAGTTGGCCATGCTTTAGCTTCATGGAGGGAGAGAGGGGAAGGAAAGCAAATCACACATGTTTAAAATAATTCCTATTTCATTCAGGAACCCTCCAGAAACAGAACTACTCCTTCATGTATATTGTATAGAAATAGCAGTGCTTTGATAGACATGTTTCTCTATGTCTGTAAGGTGGAGAGACATATAAATAGGCAGAAGAACTAAATTTTAAGTTGGACTGCATTGATTTGGGTCTTGTAGATGGAAGTCTTCACTTTTCAGAGAAACATCAGCACAAAATGTGACAAATGAATATTAAATCAGGAACAGTGGTAAGCTAGGGAAGAAAGGGAAGCTTTATTCACATGCTCTTTCCTCCTCACCACTAGGTGTATGTACCCTGGAGCCACCTTTTTACATTGTGACAGAATACATGCCATATGGGAACCTGCTAGACTACTTACGGGAGTGCAACCGGGAGGAAGTGAGTGCTGTTGTGCTACTCTACATGGCCACTCAGATCTCTTCTGCTATGGAGTACCTGGAGAAGAAGAATTTCATTCACAGGTGGGTAAAGTCACATTGAGCTGGTAGAGTTTCAGATTGCAGTGATGAACAGGCCACCAGCATGGTGGCCCAGAAATTTGTCTTTTGGGGAAAGATTCTTGCAAAGTTAGGTTTCACACTGGCTTACCTATTGGCTGTTTTGGTTTCAGTATAGTCTTTCAGTACTTTCTCCCCATGACTTTCGTAGCAGACTGAAAATCTTATGCCTGACAGCTATGAAAGTTGGTGTTGTCCTATTCTGATGTACCCCCTATATGCAAGACATTGTCAACCCCAAGTCTTGTTTTAATCCAGACAGGTAAAGCCACGCCATAAAGTTGTTACTGGTGTGGGATGAGCTGCTGATCTCATCCTATTCTCAGGAAACATAAACTTCTCATTGTAACAGCTGTCATTACTGGAAAGTAATTATTAGAGTTTAAAGAATGAGCCCCAATCCTGACTTACGGCTTCTAAGAAAAAGTCCACTCAGTTTCTGACACTGTTGAGAGCAAGATTCACATTGCCTTTACCTGCTATATAAAGAGAGTGCTTCCTAATTCAGAAGAGAAGGACAGGCTATGCAGACACAAAACTATTCAAAGCCCTGCTCTTGCTTCAGTAGAGGACTGTGCTTTTTCCCTTTGTACAGGGATCTGGCAGCACGGAACTGTTTAGTTGGAGAAAATCACGTTGTGAAGGTGGCTGACTTTGGCTTAAGTCGACTTATGACTGGAGATACCTACACAGCTCACGCTGGAGCCAAGTTCCCAATCAAATGGACGGCTCCTGAGAGTCTGGCCTATAACACCTTTTCAATCAAATCAGATGTGTGGGGTAAGAAAACTCCAGTCTTCTTTTCTCTTTCATTTTCTTTCTGTTTACCAGCATAGACAGTAACTTGCTTTCTGGCCTGACAGAAGTGTGGGGAGGAGACAGTCACACACCAGGCCACAATAATATTTTTAGCATATAATGTCTTCACCTAGACTGGCCTGAAATAATGTGCAAGAATAATGTTGCCTCAAGCTGCAGTAACGGCCACAATGTAATGAGCAGCACAAGAGAAGGACAGACTTATGACCAGGAATTCTGTTTTCCTCCTTTTGCAGCTTTTGGGGTGCTGTTATGGGAGATTGCTACCTATGGGATGTCACCATACCCAGGCATTGACCTCTCTCAGGTGTACGATCTGCTGGAAAAGGGCTATCGGATGGAACAACCAGAGGGGTGCCCTCCAAAGGTCTACGAACTGATGAGGGCATGTGAGTAGCTTCTTCCAGTTTGGAGGACAAAACCTGGGAGAGGTGGGAGAAATCTGTAGGTAACTCTGAAGTCCTTTCTTCTTTTGTGCCATTTTGTTGGCTAATGTGGAAAAGGGCCCATCACCTGAGACATACCTGGTTACTGATACAAAATGAGTGTGGTCTTTAGCGAACAAGAATTCATTCCCAGAAACTGTCATTTCTGAATACAGCCAAATACCATTTTGTGGCACATTGTACTGGTATTTTGTCAGTAGGACTTTTACTATGGAATCACTAAATTGGAAGGAAATTTAGTTCTCTGCAAACACAGCACCTGTGCAGGAGACACGTAGTTGACAGAGTTGCTCAAAATACATCCTGCAAGCATGCCATGAAGAGCTCCCTAATGCACCATAACAGATGGAAAAGGTACTAACTAATAGAAGACAAAAAAAATACAGTTTGGTACAGGAAGAGAGCAACAGAGTTTAACAGCATTGCCAATCTCCTTCAGTCCTGCAAGAGCGGGACTCCTTGAGTCCCACAAGAGACTATATTGGGCAAAAGGCTGAAGATCTTAGCGAGCATACCAGGCCATACTGTTGAATCAGGTAAGCAGCTCTGAACAGAGAGACCCTGTCAGTGTGACCTGGGAAAAGACTCCTTGGTGCTAACTCAGGCAATGTCTGTGACCCTCAGTGTTCAGGACAGGCAAAACAGGGTAGAAGAGGCCATTCTACAGCCTGTCTCCAGGGATGCCTGAACCACCCCCCCCAGCATGTCAGAGAAAGTCAGGGTGAACTTTAGTTATAAAACGAGGAAGTTGGGTAATGATGAAAGATATTGCTTTAAAAAACTTTCGGGAAGCTGACAAAACCCCCAAAGCAGGTAATTCTTACGATATCAATGCAACTGAAAATGAGCAGAATGACAGTAACTTCCCAGACCCTATAGTGGTATGAACAGATAGTCAGCTGCTTCCAGAATATATTCCCCTTGTGCAGATTTCTAACTACAGAAATTACACTTTTCATCATGATACCCTTGTATAATTTTCCAAGATCCATCTCAGATCAATGCACTCTCTTCCTCTTCCACCCACAGGATATATATATTCTCCTTCTGGAAGGCTCTGCCTGAATTTCGGTATTAAGAGCATGTGAGCAGAATGTGCCTGGAGCTTTGCATACACAGTTATCTGTAACTGGGGTAGATGTGCATTCAGTCCAGACAGCCAGGGTAGCAGATGCAGAATTCACTTTTTCCCAAAAAATTTAGAAAAGAGGGATATGGAGACCCCCAAAATTAGTGGAGTTGGCAGAGAGCTGGGATTTTTAATACTGGTTCCTTCCTCTCGAGATTTGGTTAGTTAGGATATGGTAGGGTGACTGACTGCTGCTGTGAATTAATTTCTGTGAATGACTCTAAAGCCTATTTAATTGTAGGAGATCAGTCTGACTACAGTTGACAAAGCTTGTGTCTTTTCTTTCTCCTTGCACAGAATAAAATATCTCCTACCTGTTTCAAACACTGAGACTTACTCTGCTTTCTCACAGGCTGGAAGTGGAACCCACCAGACAGACCTTCCTTTGCTGAGACCCACCAGGCTTTTGAAACCATGTTCCACGACTCGAGCATCTCAGAGGGTGAGAGCCCCTGTTGCTTTATTTCTGCAACAGTACTGGAAGTTTCCTTCCAGAGTGCTATGCTTATGGATAGGCCCTTAAGGCTCATCTGCTAGCAGTGGAGGTTGTGGTGAAGCTTCATCCTTTAGTTAATTTCTTAACCATAAGTAGGTAAATAAGTTCTCTTACTTGCTGGACAAATACTGAACAACCTTTAGACGTACAGCAGTGCAGGGGACAGTATAGTTTCATTTGAACACTAAAATGCTGAAGAGTTAATTTAAAAAATATCATATCCTTTATTAGAGAAAGCTTCTTGTTTCCCAAACTGAAGGGTTGGGAATAGTGAGTGATGTTGAGAGAGAGAGATATATGCCTATCACAGTCCTTTGCTGACTGTGGCAATTAGGTCGTGAAATACTCTTCTACCAGCCTTCATTTTTTAAGTTGGCCTTAATCCCTGGATTTTCTATGTAGCTACTTATAGGAGCGAATCTGTACAATTCAACTCTCAAATACAATCCATAGGAGTTAGTTAAGTACTGGTGAGACATGTGATACTGGGCAGCAAACAAGCAGAAGTGTCTGAGCATCTTCTAGATTTTTAAATTAAATACAAAGCTGATCTATCCACTTCGCTACCACAGAAAAAACACACCAGATTGAATTCTACCAGGGTGGATCTATATTAGGCCCATCAAGTGGCCCACAAATGCCAACTTTGGTATGGCCGGGAGGTTGTGGGGGATTTTTTTGGTGTTTTTTTCAATCACATACCTTGTGTTGATACTGCGAAGCAAACGTGCAGTCTTCATTTCTAATGGGGAGGTGCAGGGCTTTGCTTCAAGCAGAGCAGCTTAGACCCAGATCCACAGAGGACACATCTTTTGGGGGATCCCTGGAGCATCAACAAGAAGCACCTTAATTGAAAACAGAGGCAGTGCTGACTTTACCTGTTGAGCAACCCTTAACCCAGCAAAAAAGTAGATTCATACTAGGCCTTTTGCACAGATCCTACCATTGTTTTGTTTTCCTGAATTCATAAAGATGTCACTGAGTGTGAAAATACTGTGAAAAACAAACATCTTACCCTGAATACCTCTAGACTTGAGCAAAAACTAAATCAATGAACTAGGTTTTTCTCAGTCATTTATTTCTTCTTGCCAGCCTGGGTTTGCAGTAAAGACACAGATTTTCTTTTGCTCTTCCTCTGCAGTCTCTGTTTCAACTATTCACTTATTGTTTGGTTTGTTTTTTGTTTTCCCTTTCAGAGGTAGCAGAGGAGCTTGGAAGAACAGCCTCCTCCTCATCCATAGTTCCTTACTTGCCCCGGTTGCCCATGCTTCCCTCCAAGACTAGAACACTGAGGAAACAGGCAGAGAACAAGGAGAACATTGAGGGAACGCAGGATACTGTGGAGCACTCAGCTTCCAGTTCAGCACCAGGTATGGGCACTGGGACAGTGCCAGTGAGGCCATGCGTTCTGGGATAAACTTGCTGCTGGTATCAGTGCCAGAGAAACAGAAGAAAACAACAGAAAAAAGCCCAACACAATAGGGCAAGGTGCTTTGTACTGCTGTGTCATCAGGGCTGTCAGCCATTTTGTCAGTCCAGTTATTCACTAGCAAATAGTAAACACTACAGCTTGTTCAATGTTCTTTTAGTAAATGCCACTGTATTTCTTTAGAATTTAGTTTTGCTTTTTTTTAATACAGCTTCAAAAGTAAGGTTGACAATGCAGCAACAGATCTTATTTTATACTTGCGGTATTTGGGGAAGGATAAAAAACAAACAGGAAGGGAATAAGAAACCGGGAGAAAAGAGCAACTCCGTCTTTTCCTGGCCTTTTTCTTAAGTGGCCTCCTCAGTTTAGACAGGAGACAATGCATGCATGCAGAAGTGGGATAAAAGCAAAAAAATCACACCACCCTTGCACAAAAATAAAAGTGTTAATTTCCTCTCAACCTGTCTCTAAGCAGAACCTGCAGAATCTGGGCAGCTGAATATGCCAGGCCCATAAAGCGCACTGCAGGATAGGGAAGTGAAAATGGGAATTGATTTTGCAGATTCACACTTGTTTCTTCTGTCTAGGTTTTATCAGAAGCACACAGCCAACAAGTGGGTCTCCTGCACTGCCTCGCAAGCAGAGGGACAAGTCACCCAGCAGCCTATTGGAGGATGCCAAAGAAACCACTTTCACCAGGGACAGAAAAGGTGGCTTCTTCAGCTCCTTTATGAAGAAGAGGAATGCTCCCACACCTCCCAAACGCAGCAGTTCCTTCCGGGAGATGGAAAATCAGCCACATAAGAAATATGAGCTGACGGGTAACTTTTCATCTGTTGCTTCCTTGCAGCATGTGGATGGGTTCTCTTTTGCTCCCACGCAGCAGGACGCAAGCCTAGCACCACCTAAGTGCTATGGTGGGGGCTTTGTGCAGAGGACCTTCTACAACGATGATGGCACTGGTACCAGCAGTGGTGGGGGTGTAAGCACTGGTGGTGGGTGGTCGGGCATCACTGGTTTCTTTACACCACGCTTGATTAAAAAGACACTGGGTTTACGAGCAGGAAAACCCACTGGCAATGAAGAACCTTCAAAACCTTTTCCAAGGTCAAACTCTACATCTTCCATGTCCTCAGGGCTTCCAGAGCAGGATAGGATGGCAATGACCCTTCCCAGAAATTCCCAGAGGTCAAAACTCCAGCTGGAACGGACAGTGTCCACCTCCTCTCAGCCTGATGAGAGCACGGGGAGGGGCAATGACCTGCTTCCCAAAAGGTTTGAAGAAGGCCCTGCTTTGACCAGAGAGAGACCAAAAGCAAAACTCTTGCCGAGGGGTGCCACAGCACTCCCTTTCCGAAACCCTTCTGCATCGGAAGACAAGGAGGGTCCAGGGCTAGCCGCAGCTCCCAAGGGCAAGGAAAAAAACAGTGGCCCACGGCAAGGGGCCCTTGAGGATGGCGAGAGACCAGGGTGGTCATCTCCAGTAAAGGCTGCAGCAATACTTCCAACCACTCATAACCACAAAGTGCCAGTCCTAATTTCACCCACTCTAAAACACACTCCAGCAGATGTGCAGCTCATTGGCACAGACTCTCAGGGTAATAAATTCAAGCTCTTATCTGAGCATCAGGTCACTTCTTCTGGCGACAGGGACCGTCCCAGACGGGTAAAACCAAAGTGTGCTCCACCTCCACCACCAGTGATGAGGCTCCTACAACAGCCAGCTGCCTGCTCAGATGCAGCAGAAGAGCTGAGCAATGTGGCAGGAGCGCAGCATGGACTGGAATCAAGTGAAGGGAGTAAGAAGGCAGCAGCAGCAGCAGCACCTGTTGGTGGAAAATCTGGGAGGCCTGTGGTGCCTCCGCCTCAAGTGCCTCTGTCATCGTCTTCCACCTCCCCAGTGAAACTGGCCAATGGCACGGCCGGTGCAAAAGTAGCGCTGAGAAAGACCAAACAGGCAGCTGAGAAAATCTCCGCAGACAAAATCAGCAAGGAAGCACTGCTGGAGTGCGCAGATCTTCTCTCGAGTGCCATCGCCGAGCCAACGCCAAACAGCCAGCTGGTGGACACAGGGCACCAGCTGCTGGATTACTGCTCAGGCTACGTGGACTGCATCCCGCATACGCGCAACAAATTTGCCTTCCGGGAAGCCGTGAGCAAACTGGAACTCAGCCTGCAGGAGCTGCAGGTTTCTTCAGCAGCTGCTAGCGTCCCTGGGGCAAACCCCGTCCTTAATAACTTATTGTCATGTGTCCAAGAAATCAGCGATGTGGTGCAAAGGTAGCTACTGTCAATCTGGGTAAGAGAAATACACATGGGGAGGGGGGGACTTTTTTTCTGTACTGATGCTTTCAAAAGGAAAGACTGATACTTGAGTATGTGAAGTACCTCAGATCACTGAGTTCTCCTCACGTTTACAGGTTCATCTCAAAGAATGGGGATGGAGAGGGTAGATTAAAGCTGTAAGGGGCAAAACAGCCTGTATTTGTCCCTACCTAGTCAGGCTGATCTGCTTGATATGGCAAGGGAAGGAAGCTCCTTGCTTCTCCCTTGGAGAGGCAGGAGTATTGATGGCAGGTTCTAGCTCTGGAAAGGATGAATTGATGTGTGGTAGCTGGAGTACTGGAGTGGCTGCAGGCCACTTGGCTGTACAGATCCTCCCCTGTCTGTGCCAAAGTATGCTTTGGTCTCCTGACATGGCAAAGTAAAGGAACTGGGGCTCTGTTGGTACCAAGTGCCGAGCAGTCTGAGCTGGAGTAGCCATCAAGAGGGAGGTTACGTGCAGTTGGGAGAAAGGTCTAATGCACTGACAGTATTCAGAGCTGCTGGAGGTGGATGCACTAGCCCAGATGGCTTACTTCCACAGCACTGTTGCTGCTGTAATGAGAACTGCAAAATTAGTTAATATATTAAACTATCTCTTTTCCTTCCTGTCCACCTCATCCACCACATGTTCTCATCTGCGTTGTATCGGAAGCATCAGGGATACTGGGCAGACTTACCACTGGAATACCCCCTTCCCCACCACACAGCCTTGTCTCAGTTGATACTTCTTTCTAGTGGTCTCGCACCAGTGCTGCTTGATGGTCATTTGTGAGTAGTTTGGGGCTCTTGCACAACTTGCCAGTTATTGGGGTGGGTGGTTTTTGTTTGGTTTGCTTTTTTTAAGCTCTAGGTTGTTTCTATCTTGTTACCAGGTTTACTCCCCAGTTTAGTTTCATCACCTTGAGGACCCATAGTAGGTAAGGCAGAGCTTCTGCCACCCCTAGCTGTTCTCCACATTCCTTTAGTGGTCACAGCACTGCAGAGCCAGCTGGAGAGCCAGGAAGTACAGCCTGGCCTGCCCGTTACACACCCTTAGTGCTGTAGGGTTCTCTGGATCTGTCCCTTATCTTGGCCTAATGCTTCATACTGAGGGCTTCCTGAGATTTGTTTTAGTGCTTCCTGGTCTTGAAGGCTTCCAGCTTCCTGGCATGTGAAGGTGACTGTGTATGGCAGTGCAGAGGAGAATCACAGCCATCTTTTTTATTTCTTCCTGTATTTTAAAGGCTAGATCACAATCTTATGCTGTGGCAAAGGGAACACACACATAAACTGCACACTCCCCTGCTTGAGATGCGACAACAAATGTTATAGCTTTGCCTCGGAGCGCTCCCACTGGGTTATGGTTTCTGATGTCTGATGCCTACTAGCAATGAATGCAGTTGTGTGGTTGAAGTTGTCTTCCTTGGTCCTAGTGCTAGTTGTAGACTGTGGTGGCATCAAAAAGCTGGTCTTCTGCCTATACGCACAACTCCCTGAAATGTAAATGTACTGGCAGGTAGGAAGACCTCAACTAATTTGATTTGTGAGAAATGGAAAACAGGTCTGATAGCTGGCTCCAAATACGCATTACCCTGCATGCTGCTGCTCACTTCACACTATTGGTGATGATAGAGGATCTCGCTTGCTTTGCACCTTAAATCTTTTCTTTTTTGCTAAAATGCTTTTTTAACTTGTCTTTAAAGTGTGACTGTGCTGCTTGTAGTTTGAGCATTTAGAGTTGAACTGGGGCACAGGTGTGAATTTACAAGATGGGCACTTCCATTTCTGTCTAGGATCATTGCCCTGTTGGTGCTTGGAAGTAGGCTGGGTTGCCTTGGTGAGCATCCCTGTTTTTTCCATGGAGCATAGCGAGACAGGGGCCGAACAATCTTTAGAAACGATGTCTGAGAATCCTCATTTTATCACTGGTCTGTGGTAAATGAAGTTGTGTCACAATGCATGAATGCACCCCGGTGGAGCAGTATGTGAGGCAGAAAGGACCACATGAGCTTCACTGTTCAAGTAAGTGGAATGGTGAAGGGAGAAGGAAAAGGTAACTCCTCCACCCCGGCTGACGTTAAGGCATTAAGTGACTGAACATCTCAGTTTTACTCCAGTGAGCTGGTACCTAAGTGGAGACAAATCAAAGTACAGCGTGGGTTACTCATCCTGACATACAGTCAGTACCAAGCCTACCCAACAAAACCTGCTGTCTAGTTCTACAGTGGGACCTTTAGTAGGTTGGGGAGGGGTACACCAGGGCTTTCACAGCAATGCTCACCTGTAAGGCAGAGTACCAAACCGTTATCATGTAGACTTTACTGAGGGCTTTTGTGGTTTACCTTATCTCTTTCAGTCATCTTTACTGAAGGTGTGCACACCGAACTAATTGTCTTTGGAAAGCTGACCTGCAAAGGGAAGGCAGCTTGTGATACTGCTTCACATGGCCTTTCAAACAATCAAGATGATTTAACAGGTATGGGAGCTTTCTTCGGGGCAGAAGGGCAAGTCTTGTTTGCCCTGGCAGACAATCGCATGGTTTCATCATTGTACTACTAGTCAGCCTAGGACGAACAGACTGAAACTGAAGTGATTCTCAGGGGAAAGGTATTTTAACCTGAACATTTTAAGGCTGTTAGTCCAGTTCTGATTAGTATTTTGAACGGAGCTTTTTGGGTTTTTTCCCTGAATGACAGTCTTCCTCCAGCACAAATGACAGAATAGGAAACAATTCCTGGAATGTCTAGCTTCTACAACAACCCTCTGTCAGCCCTTTCTGAAGAAACTAACCATGCCCCAAGGAAGGACTGTTCCCCTCCACTGATCATCCCCACTTCCTTTCAGATGCCACCTGGTTTATTCTCCCCACAGCAGAGATGATGGGCAGTGGCACTGGGCAGTAGGCAGTAACACAGCTGAAGCAGCCTCTGCTTTTACAGTCACAGAGCAGCTGAGGCGGTAAGGGACCCCTGCCCAGCTGCCTGCTCCAGAAGGAGCCACCTGCCCAGGACCACATCCTGGGCAGGTGGCTCCTGAGTATCTCCAGGGATGGAAACTCCACAACCTCTGTGTGTGACAGAGCCCATTCAGTTCTGATCCCTCCTGTGGTGGAAAAAAACCCTCTGTTCTTACCCCTTGTCTTACGTCAAGTGGGTAGATAGTGGCAGAGGTAGTGCTGACTTGACACTAGAGTTATTTCCCCTGAATAGGAGGCTGTAGAATTGCTGCTGTTTCTGCTGCCTGTTTTATTCCCAAACTGGAATTTCCCCCCTGCCCTCTGGCAGGATAGCAGCAGGATGGTATCTGGAAAGGGTTCTGCTGTAAATTATCGTTCAGTTTTAGTTCCTTCCACAGCCACTCACCTAAAATTGTTGAAAGTTCCATCTCCTTTTTGCTAGGTTTGGCTTTTGGCCTTAAAGGTCTCTACAGTGGCAGCTTCTCTGCTGGTTTCAGCCTTGTACAGTACGTTCAAAGTAACGTAGGGATGGTGAAGCCCTGGTATTTGTGCCAGTGTAGAGCACTTCTTGCTCTACTTGTCAGGGTAGGGGACAAGGCATAAACTCCTGTTGTTTCCTTTCCTCACCACTGTCAGAAGGCCTTGTGGGGTAAGGATGTTATTGCAGCTGGGCTCTCTCACTTGCACTAGAACAGGCTAGAGTTTAAAGTAGTCTTCTCTGCAACAGGGGATGGCAGCACGTAGGGCCTGGTAAACGCCAAGCACAAAGCATGCACTCGAGTGAGTTGACGTGGGGCACTTTCTCTTTGTAGCTACTGTGGGGAATTGGCCAGCTCACAGGTGCAATTCTCCTTTCTTCCTGCACTGTACACCCTTTTTAACCCCAGAAGCGGTGCACTTGGCTGTCTGACTGACAGCAGCACTTCAGTATAATCATTGTCTTTAGTGTGGACAGAGGTGAAGCTGAATTAAGAGTCTGGGTCTTGGGACTGCATCAAATTTAGCCACTGGGAAAACAGAATGGAATGGAGCATTGCTGCTGATGCAGAACACAATGGGAGAGAGGAAGGCTTCCTGTTCCTGTCCTTCTCATACAGGACATCTCTCCTGAGCACCACTGGCCTTGTATCAGTGAGACAGTCGCACACGTGTGTTGACATCACATCAGGTGTGCTTATGCAAGAGTTTTATGGCACGTTGCTCTTTGTGGGCAGTGGGAACTAAACCCCACAGCATGGGACAGCAGCTGCGCCAGAATTGCTGCAGTAACAAAGCAGCCCTCCTTTAAAGGCAGTGGGCACAAAAGCAGGCAGGATGGGCTCCGCTGTGCAGTCATAGCGTAGGAAAATCCAGACCTTGAAGCCTGTTCCATTTATCTAAGACTTTCCCAGCAGCTGAGGCACTCTGCATAGTGCTTGTGGGTGCTCTTGGGCACCAGCAGCTGTGATAAGCACTAATGAATCCAGAAGACTGTTTCTGCAAACAGAACAGGCTGCTTTGTTCTCTTGTAAAACACTGAGCCCTACTCCTAATCAGTGGCTGGCAGGAGAACCCAAGGGTCTTGACTACAGCATGCTTGGAAGCCTCCTGCTTCAGCACGAGTAGGCACCATCTGGCTCAGGTGGACACTGGGGTTGTGCTCTGCTTGCCTGTAGCGCAGAACAAACCTTCAGCCTGTTCCCTGGTGGTGGAAAGTAAGAGGTTATGGGACACCTCACTTACTGACAATATCTACACATGATAAGAAGTGTCTGTACCAAAGGAGGTCATTCTTCAACTGTGTCTGTTGTGCATGGGAAGTAGAGCCCAGCGGGCTCCGCACGCTCTTTGCATCAGTAGTGAACTCATTGAGGGCAGGAATGGGTTAAAATGAAACACATTAATCACCGATCACTCTACCAGTGTTGTCAACTGTTTTTTGTTTTTATTGTTATTGTAATATGTTTTGGTTGTTTTTCTAATTTAATTCTCTCACTATCGTCTGACTGTGAACTGCGAACAGTGTTAAACTTGATGTAAATAAGGCCCTTTGAAGGGCCTCTTTGCCTGTCGTTCCACAAAGTTTTGCCAATTTGCATTTTGTTTTAAATAAAGGTTGCAATATTTTATTGGCAAAAAAATCGTGGTTTTCCTAAGGAATATTTGAAGCTGCTCAGTACTAACCTGAAGTTTGGTGGTTTGGGTAGAAAAGAGAAGATAGTTTAATTCTACCAGATTGCAAAGAAAAGCAGTAGCTTTATTTATGCCTCTAAAATCAAGCTTAGTATTGCCATGGAGTGGTCAGAGGAGAGTGGGTCTCACTATTGGGTACATAATTGCTTACCTCTGAAACATCCCTGTGTGACCTGGCAGAGTGCAAGGCCTTGTGTGGTCAAGTGTGAGAGTTGCCCCCATTAGCAATACCACCAGTAATGGAGTAAGAACTGCTCAACATGCCAGCTTCATGCCACCCCTGCACTGGTGAAACAGCTGCCCAAGAGATTTCCTTCCCCTCCAAGCAGCACCAGCCTAACCTGGGCAGCTGAAGATTCTTTTCTATTAAATTAAAAAAAAAAATAATCCTAGGTGACCCTGGCTTATACAGCCTTCTAAGCAACTAACTCCAGCTAACAACCTCCTCAACTTTCGGCCCATGTTATAAAACACAAACTGAGTTGCGTCCTTCTGTGGGGCTGTGACCTTCCTTCCCCACCTGCCTCTGCCTCTGATGTTTCCAAGCTGGAGCTTTAGGCTTGACACTTGTGATTAAGAAAGAGATTGACCATAAATCAGGTCTCAGAAATGCCTGATAACAGTGCATGCTGGCACGGGCCCTAAGGTCCAGTCCAGAGACAACAGGTAAGTTTAAACTAACTTTGCATCAGCTGAGCAGCTGGCTCATCTTCCTGCTTTGGACTATGAAGCCTCGTTAGGTAACAGCCAGCGTGCCCAGAGAGACATACGAACTCAAAGTCTGCAGGACTAGTGTTAGTGTGTCTGGTCAGTCTTTTCCCAGAGGTCGTGCTGCTCATCACTGGCACTGCAGGGAGGTTCAAAGCTTAAAATAGACCAAAGGTCTGCATGCGGGGCGTCCAGGGCGCTAAGCCCTGTCCTTGGCGTGTGCCATTTCACCTCATCACCCAGCACAGCTCTGTTGGAAGGGAGTTTGGACCTAGAGGTCACAGTGATTCTCATAAGACTGTTGAAATTTTTTGGTTCTGCTGCAACATACTTATCACCTGGCAAGTACCCAGACAGCAAACAGGCCCTTAGTGCAGTAATGCTGATATCAGCCAAAAAAACACAGATGCAACATACTGAAAGGCCCTCAAGCTTACTGCATCCCTCAAAACCCAAATTCAGCTGCAGCCCATTCCTTCAGCCACCATCCTCACCAACGGCCCTTTGCCCTTGAAAAGGGAATTAGTCTCCCCTTTTTCATTTTGCAGGGAGGCAAAAAGGCTCTTCACCAAATTGCTTAGAAAAATAATTTCAGCAGAAGGTCACCTCATCCCCACAGCTGCTTCCATACAACAGAAGACTCCAGTGAGAGGGGGACGCTCCAAAGGGAGAGATTTGACGTCTCCAGAGGAGATTATTGTCATTTTCTCAATGCAGGGGCCTCCCTGAACAAACCGTGATCCTGGCATGCACGTCCCTGAGCAGCAAAAACCTTCTGAGTGCAGGAGAGCAACAGAGAAAAATACTCAAGCAGAACAGTTCTGTTCAATCTTGTAAACTGACAGAGAAAACTGGAGACAGGGTGAGGACATGGCTTCTGCTGCACTGTCCCAACAGGACCAGTCTTTCCAAGATCTGCCTTCATCACGTAGTAACAAACCAAGGACTTGGACATCCCCACTCCCATAAAGCGTAGCATCTGTCAACATAACCACATCATCACTTCAGGCTACAACCTGCTAAAAGAAGGGACTTAAACACTGGACAGACTTGAGATGCAGCCAAGTGCAGGCTGTCTTGGTGCCCCAAGGCTGGGTGGAGGCGCCTCCTTCCCTGCAAACAGCCCTCCGAGTAACGGAGTTAAGCGTGTGTCCCCATGCGAGGGCATGGCTGGGTAACCTGCCTGCCTGACCTTGTGCAAGAGAGCAGCTCTAGAGTGCAGAACCACCTTCACCACTGGTGTAGTCCCACCTGGGGTTCAAGGAAGGAAGTAATTGATGCGCTGGGATACAGATTTGCAGCCCTGTGCAGAGAAAAGCTTCTCCTCTTTGGGCACAAACACCATCATCCTGGCCACCTCATCGAGGGCTGCCTCTGTGTATGGAAGTCCCCTTGCCAGGAAAGCATCCCGTGCGCAGAGCTTCACGTGGTGGTACTCCAGGGGCAGGAATGGCACGAAGAAATCAATGAGGTTCTCTCTGAGGAGGTGGCTGTGGGCATAACCATTCTCTGTAGCAAAACAAGACAAACAAACTTCAGAAGCTTCACCTGGGAGCTGTCATCTCTCTGCAGGGTCAGGCTTGTCTCTTGGCAGGGGTCTGTCCTGGAGAGACACCCACTTGTAAAGAGCTGTTCAGCACTTAGTCTGAACAGAGAAAGACATTACAGCTTGCCCATCTCAAGCCAAAAGAAGCCTGAATCCCTAGAGAAACCTTGATACTCCTGTACCGTGTTAGGCTGCCATTCACAACACAACCACTTTCAGGGCTGAAGTAGGTAAGAAGGACACACGGCTCCTTCCTCACGTGCCTCATAAGTGGGGCTGTGGTCATGTGGATGAGGGAAGGGGCTCATGCTGCAGATAAT